TTGATATATAGCCCGACGTTTGGGGTCAAGTATTTCTGCTCATAACTCAGAAAAACTATTTTGGCTTCATCAAATCATAGGCCTTCATCATAGCAGTTAGCCTTCCAGTTTATTTATAGTTCAATGGGGAGGACTGGATTAAAAACTGTGTATGCTTTGCATGCTTAGAGTTTAAAGTTTTAAAGGTTTAAAGCATAGATATCTGATATACACTAGATAGTTCATCTAATTATTCTGCAATTCAAAAATTGAAGCCGTGATTGCAGTCTCAGGTCGTTCCCATGAAATGAGAAGATTCGTATATTTCCTATTTCTTAAGCAGGGAACTTAAATATTAAGTTAACCCTATTCCAAATACATTTTTAAACTATTCCAATGATGAAAGTTATTGTTGTTTTTAAGTGTTTATTAGCGAGTGGGAACGACCAACATGGCCGCCATCTATTCAAATGGGGGTAACCGCTGGAATATTCGTGGCTTCAATTTTACTAAAAGAGATGCGCTATCTAGTGCATATAAGATATCTATGGTTTAAAGATGGAAGATTTAAAAAGGATCTCCATGTTTCCGTGACATTAAAAAGAAGAATAACAGTACACGTTTTATTGAGCTAAGTGAGCCATAGCGGATAGTTGAGAGCACAACGGAAATAGGCGAATTGATCCACACTGCATGGACCACTCGCGAAGTAAAAAGTTCTTTGTGGTTCACAATGGATTTGTCGTTCAGGGTTGAAGTGCAACAACATTTATAATAAGATCGCATTGATGAACATATATAGATCATCATTAGGTAAATTCCAAATTCCATTACACTAAAAGAGGATCGCGAATGGTTTTCAATCCCATTTTCCCAGGCAAAATGCTCCACTTGGCAGGGTAGCGTCGCGAACCGGAAAAAGGCGTATTCCCATTTTTTTTCAGTAAAAATATTTTTGAAAAAAATTTCCGTATATAAATCCTATAGAATTCATAAAATTCACCACCAGATATATGCCACATGATAGTGATTAGTGAAATCATGCATGCACAGTTGTTTTTTAGGGTTATGGAATTACAGTTTACAAAGAGCGTATATATGAAAATGTATGCCTAAAAACCTAACCGGCCCAACTTGAACTAAACACATGCAGTATATATAATATTTCTATGAAATTTTGTGTTTTGCGTGCTGATGCTCATAATTTTTTTTACAACGTATAGTTTGCCCGGAACTCTTAAAGTATGAGGAGACTATATATAGACAAAACTACCAGAGCTGTTTGGTTGTTGTTGCTAAGCAACCCCACTCCCCCAAACATTAAAATACGCACCGCAACTGTGAGGTCACTCAGATGAGCAAGAGTCAGGGAAGTGCAGGAAACACTGAGTATAAAAACACTTCAAAAGGTAGGAAAGTTAATTTGTCTTATATTTGTACAATTTAGTATAGATTGAGGGAATGTCTCATCATATATAGTAGCGAACATTTTTATCTTCATATTGTATTAAACCTGCATGCTCAATTCTACTTTTTATCTTCTGTACATATTATATGTTATGCTGTATACTCTAAACCATTTTTTCTGTTATTTCATTTGATTGTATATTAAGAAATAATTTCAATTATACGTAATGTATACTGAACAAAACTAGAGGCCCTTTTAGGCCTATGTTAGGGTTTCTAGTAGGCCTCTACCTCTATCAGTTGTAAATATTATCTTAATTGTTTGGTTATGTAATCTTGTATACATAACCATAGGAAAAATAGACAAATGAGGCCCTGTTAGGGTTTTAGAATTTTTGGGCAGGATTACGGATTATTGCTAGTTAAAAAAAAGATTATGGATTATCTTGATAGGATTTTAGGATTAAGGATTATTGATATGCAAAGATCATATATCATTTTTTGCCATTGAAAATAAAAATAAGAGCTAAAATATGCAGTTTGTAAGAGGTCATCAGATGCCAGTCAATATCAAGTCAGTATCAATATCTTCAACATACTGGAGACACCATTGAAAGGTGCCAAATTTTTTTAAATTATTGACCATTTCGCACATTTGAGATGGAATATGGGCGAACTTCGCGCAAACGTGTATGTGACACGCATGAATCACTCGAGTGTCACTTGATCTCGCGTGGAATAATTTGACTGTTCACATTAAAAGCATTTCTTTACATTATTAATTTATATATGTTGTTTACCGGTGTACCGGCTGCGAGGTCCATTTGTTCATTACAACATTTATAAAAATAATTTTTACCGAATTAAGCCCAGGAATCATCCTTAAAATTAAACTGCCATTTAAGGTATTTTGTAAGGACAAGTTGTACGTTGTACTATTATATACGTATATTTTCGAACAATAGCTGAATATATGTGCAACATTTGAATCAAAACATACAACACTGGCCAGTGTTTTTTCAATGTTTATATTTGGGTTTTTTTCCGTATTTTGGTCGGAGAAAAGTACATTTCGGGCTCTGCACTAAGTCCATTGAAGTAAATTCACTGTATTTTACTATCTAGTATCGATAGCGTAGATTTTTCGATTTTTTGGGCAGTGTTTTGAGTTTGAAATTGACTTCGCTCCCCGGTTTGTCGCTAAAAAATAACTCTTTTGGACCGTGGTGAAGATATCGTAAAAAGCTGCCCGCTCCTGCAGCCAATCAGATTACAGGAAATAAAAAATATCACTAGGCATGCACAAATAAAAAGGGATATTTTTGTTTATAGAAATATATAGGATACGGATTATTTTTAATTTTTTTCTAGGATTATGGATTATTCAGACCCCCCTATAACAAAATATAGAAAAAAGCGTGAAAGAAATCTTCTAATTTGGACTTCGTATATACAGTATAGGGAGCTTAATGTACATGTTGAAAATGTGGTCATATTACGTTTTAGCACAACAATTCATGTATATTACGTACGGATGAAAACACAGCTGGCCTGCACTGAAGACTACTCATCCTATCAGGTCTAGCTTTTTAATATAATTTGCATAAAAGCTATTTTTCTAACTTTTCTCAACTGTTCTGGTCAATTTTTTGACTGCCTTCTAACTATAAATAATCACATGCACGAAAAACGAAACTTTGTGCTCAACTGGCTCGAGTTCGTCGCAAAACGAAAAAACAAGGGTATTTTACGTGCTTATACACTAAAAGATATGCCAGCATCGCATGTTTATATATTATGTAATAAAAAATATGTTATGTAATTTTATTATATATATATCCATCATACCTTGCGCGCTCAATGGCTAAGGTTTACGATATTTGAAGGACGACGTACCTTTTTCCAGTTGGTTTTGAATTTTTGCTAATCAGCTATGCCTCTGGTATAACTTCACGTACGAAACTGTACAGTAATCAAAATGTTTTTAAATTTTCACTGTTATATTATTCAACTTCAAGGCTATATATGTATTCTAATCTAATTACAAGGCACAAAGAAATTAATACATATAGGACAACGCATGTTTGAAGGAAGTGCACCATGCAGGAACACTCTCAGTCTCTAATAAGTAATACGGTTGCTAATGCTGGATTATACGTTAACTCGTAAACGACCGGATAATCTCGTACAAAGGTAAACAATGCCGCTATACTAATGTCGCTATACTAATGTCGCTTTGTTTGTTCCATAAGGAGCATGTACATTCCATGCATACAGCGATATTGCGGTAATTTTTGTACAATACTTGTCTAAAAACATAAAAGAAAATTCAAAAAGAAACTTTGTTTAATATACTTTTTCTTATAGTGTGGCGGATATGTGCATGGGTGTTTCCGAAGAGGGTTAAAAGCACCAAATTGCATGTGCACAGTAGCATCTTTTTATGAATAGAACAACATGCAAAAGTGGGGCCATCGTGAAACTGCTTTTTTTAGAGAGTTACGATGCTATTAGCATTATTTGCTATTAAATTCTACTGCAACAAAAAATGTGAAATTTTGAATTCAATCGCGACAAATATAACTTGCATCATCAGAAAGCTTGTAAAAAACTACATAAAAGACTTTTTTGAACAGTTTTTTTATTCTTCAAATCGTTACTGATGTAAATTAGGCACATTATCTCGCTAAAAGTCCTTAATTAATTATTCGATGTTTGAAAATGCGTTTTTAACAGTTTATAATTCGAAACTGAACTATTTCAGAAATAAAAAAAAACTGTCTAAACGTCTTATACAGCTTGCATCCCAGGAACTATCTATTTTGATGTGCTATAGCGTTTGGATTGGGAAAACAACATTGACTGGGGAGGAAGGGAGATAAACGTATGTGATAAGCTGCATTGATTGGCTAGTGATCTATATTACGTGTCCCAACAACTTTTGAATGTTATTTTTGACAGTTTGAGCTGGGGTTTGAGGTTTGTATCGGGGGTGTCAGGTCCCCCAATAAAATCATTGTGGATAGGAGCGATTCTGCCACCGTGTTGACACAACGCAAAAAATTCAAGTTCTATTTTATATAGTTACAAGGAATTTGCGAAACATATCGTTAACCCATTAAGTTGCATTGCACCCTATATTTTATTATTTTGCTCTATCCAACGCCAGACGATTTTACTGGTCAAGGGAGAGCGCTAGCGGTCAAGGGGAGAGCGCTGGCGCTCAATGGGTGAAACGCTAAAGGTTTGAAAATTATTCGGGCGACCAAATTAAGCCCCGTTTACACGAGCAAATTTTATTTGACAAATTTAATATGACAATTGCATTTGATCAACAGCTAGCATGCTAGCTTTTGTTCAAATGCATTTGTCACAATAAATTTGTCACAAATGTATCATCTACACGAGCAAAATATCTTTGACACATGAAATTTGTCAAATAAAATTTGCTCGTGTAAACGGGGCTTTAAATACTGAAATTAAACATTTTATGCAAATAATTGATGCATGTATAGTCATTACCTATATTAATGACGTTGTAATCACCACAATAGAGTCCTTGCGATTTTAGGACGGCAACGGCCAAAACAAACTCCTTCAAATAAATGGTATGAATTTAATACAGTCTTAGAAGTTGAAGACATGGGTTTTATCGTTGGGAAGAGTTCTGCTAAACCCAGTTTGAAGTTGCACTTGTTGTGGCTTGGAATGCAGCCGTTGTATCAAGACGTGAAAATCAGTGATTTGGCGTTGTAAACAGAGCGAGGACAATGTCTAAATTATTCATACATTGTAATTACTCAATTCTTTTCAATGACCTATTGTATTGGTAGCCGTTGCAGTCCTAAAATCGTAAGGTCTCTAATTATAGAACACAAACGACAAATGCATGGATAAGTGTTGTGATATAAACCTGTTCTTAAAAATGTTTAAATATTCCCGAGCTTTTTTGAACTGGATCCAACTAGCTACTTGAACTTAATTATTTTTCAACTTAGATCCTTCAGCCATGCAGATCATTAGTAATATTGGTCATCGCCACGTACTTTCTTAAATAGATCAATTTTTAATGAGAGGTGCTGAGATGCATGTTTTAGAAACCACGTATAATACTGAATGGTTTTTATAAAAAAATTGCACATTTATATACAGGAAAAATTAAGAATGCCTCGTAGATCGCCCAAGGAATGGTTTAAGAAGTACTTCCTTGAAGGTAAGTTGAAACTTTTAATATCTTGGAAATTTATGGCGAATTAAAAGCGTTACATAACTATAGAACATACTACATAAAATGTGTTACATATATAATACGAAACTTGAATGCAACATTATACCAGTAAGCTTAGTAAACTGCATAATGTTATCTGACTATTATAATATCTATATAGTTGACCAGCCAAATAAAAATATTATGTAACAGGAAAAATGTTATTTAGCAGCACACAACCGATTTGATTACAAACAGTAGCGAATTAGTTTACATGACAAAAATGATTGGTTGAGTCAACCACTTTTTATTAGTTAGCTATGACTTATCGTTCAGACTTGACCAAATAATAATTGCATGGTCATTTTAACCAATTTATATGGGTTCTAACCTATTTGATTGGTTAAATTAACCTATTTTTATTGGTTATAGCCAATCATTCGCAATTGACCAAATAATAATAGGTTATTTTAACCCATTTATTGTCATAATTCGCTGTTACACATCAGGTCAAGCACTGAGCAATACTCAAACAGAAGCCCTCAAGAACCTGGACTCAAATGCACCATGGTATACGAAATTAATCGTCAAGCATCGTCGTTGGGTCGGCGTGCTAATCCCTTTCACCATCGTGCAAATCATCTGGTGGAGCTGCGCGATAAAATACAATTACTGGGACCTCTTTCCTGACAGATTTTATATTTCAATCACCATGATTTTTGGATCCATGATTGCAGGTAAAGACCTACCTAAAATGATCATGTTTTGTGACTGGCTTTCAGAAACAAATCAGAAACAAAAATGATCATGACTCGTTCTTTAGAAAGACGATTTCTATAGTTTTACTGTCTTTCATTGTTATAATCAACCAACCACGAGCCTGGATAGTATAGGTAGATCATGACCCACAAGTTGCGAGATTTTTACGAGTGTACCACCTCATCATTTCTTGCAGGTATGACAAGCGAAGGTGGTGGTGCTGTTGCATTCCCAGTGATGACCTTGGCGTTCAGCATCAGTCCTGCGATTGCTCGAGATTTCTCGCTGATGATCCAATCTGTTGGCATGACTGCAGCAACATTCACAATATTTTGGATGAGAATTCAACTGGAATGGCGTTCTATAATATTCTGTTCTAGTGGAGCAATCCTAGGGATGATTATTGGTCTTGAATTCATTGATCCAAACCTCACACCACCACAGAAAAAGATGGGATTCGTTAGCATATGGTTTGCGTTCGCCTTTGCTCTATTCCTGCTCAACCGTTACCACAAAAGGAAGACATTCAGAATTATTCCAGAATTTAACACATGGAAAGCAGGGGTGCTTCTTTTAACTGGATTCATCGGTGGTATATTCTCCGCAGTAGCTGGTAGTGGAGTGGACATCTGTAGTTTCAGTATACTCACATTATTGTTTCGAGTATCAGAGAAAACAGCAACTCCTACTTCGGTTGTCTTAATGGCAGGAAACACGGTGGTCGGTTTCTATTGGAGACAAGTCATGATGGAAGAAATCCATATAGATTCGTACCATTACCTTGCTGTTTGTGTTCCGATTGTGGTCCTTGGTGCCCCATTAGGTAATATTTCTAATTATATCATTTATTTGAATAAAATCCATCCATTTTGATCCTAGTTATTGGAGAATATAATGGTAACAAACCTGCAGCAGACTTGTATATATCAATGCTGTTTCAACAACCTTACTTAAATCAGGATGTGTTTACAGTGCTTGTTCCCAAATTGTTGACAAGTTGTCGACAGACAAACACACACAACACAAACATAACGTCCTGAAGAAGGTAAAAATAGGTAAGCTATTAAGTAGTTCAAAAGGAATGTCCTGAAAAGTTTCGGGTTTTTTTGTAGGTTCTGTGATAGGCAGTCATTTTCATCGTCAAGTGCTCGCTGCTTTGATATACATCCTAGATACCGTGGCTTTAATCAGTGCGTTCGCAATTGTGAAGCTGAATCCGACCCTGATTGGAGTTTCAGTGGGTATTATTGTTTTTGGTTTTGTCTTCTTCGGGTTCTTAAGTTACCTTGGACATCGTCTCATGCGCAGTATAACTGAAGATGGCGAAGAAGCTAGAGAATCGACTGCAAGCAATGCTCCTGGCATCGACAAGACTGCAGGCAATGACAACGAGGCTTATGCCATATCTGACGAGAAAGTCAACGAGTTAAACGCAGAAAATAACGTTCTTGCGGAGAACGAGAAGAATGCGAGGAACGGTACCACAACGGTGCCAAATAATTACACTTCTACAACATACATGTAAAATTATGAAGACAGAAGTACATTTTATTAAGTGTAAATATAATATAAGAACTGTGGAAGATCAATATTGAACATTGGGTTTTGAAGGAATATGAATATTTGGGGTAAGATTACAGGATTATGAATATTGATGATAGGATTATGAATATTGATGGTAGGGATACGAATATTGATTGTATAGGAATATGCATATCGATTGGTAGGAATAGGAATATAGATTAGTAGGAATATGAATATTGATGTATAGTAATCATCAATAATAGATAAAGACTACGTTCACAATACACCGTTATGTTACATGTTTATGAATACATATTAGTGAGCTTATAAGTAAGCGATGTTTTTGTCAATACGGACGTCAGTTTGCCGAGGGAGGACTGGATTAAAAACTGTGTTTGTATCAGTTTGTGGTAATCTTCAACACATATGACAAAAGATAAGATTTTTAAAGTTTTTTTCTTCCTTATACGAACGCTACATGATGCAAAATACCACCAAAATTAGTTATACCAGTTTTCGGGTGACGTCCGTGTTGGTTTTGGCATGATATTTGTGAGAGAATAAAGTATATTCTTGTGATATTTTTATGCGTATTTGATATATTTCTATTATTTTATACACCTGAACATTTCATATTATTAGTTCTCATTGTATTGTATGTAAACTCGGTGACAGTTTAACATTAAGTATAAAATATCAATGTATATATGTAGAATGTAGAAACTAGAAATGTACTCGCCATTTCCGCAAAAAGCATTCAAATTCTCTTGAAACTGACCAGAAACAGAATGTTTTTTTTTGCGCAACTTGTTCAGAAGTTATCAAGGGGTTCAAACCACCTTTCATACTGGGCTGACGCAATCAACTTCTGGTCTTAATTTGCCTGTAATCAGGAATAATATCGCTTATACCGACAAACGATCGACCTTCAACGATAATTACAAGAGGTCCTTGAGAATTGATACAATTGGGTATAAAACACCGCTATCGAAAAGAAAACTTTTACAAGACGATTCACGATTAATTTTGGCCGTTTACAAAACAAGTATATTCGGCATTTATTCGTTATAACGAACAATACGAACATGTACAATTTCCAGTGAAATAATTAGCGAAAATAACAATATCAAAGTCTCAAAGTTTGTAATTGCTTGCTAATGATGGTAATGCATCGGTTTTTGTAATTCTTGTCGCCCATTGGCTACACTAAAAGGTTTTCAAGTAAAAAGAGGCTTGATTGGCGTTAAGGACTAAAATAACGGAAACAGCTGGCAATATAAAATATGCAAAAATTTAAAATGTTTAGTTCTTTAATCGATTTTGAGATTTCATATACGTTACTGCAACATATATTGTATAACGATGTACCGGAAGGTCGGGCCAGATAACTGGTTAAACATGCACTGCACACTGCTTTTGGTCATGATTGTATTGTTGTGGTATTGATAGAATATACTATTCTATACAGGACGAACTCTTCAATAAAATGCATTCAATGAGCGATCAGTCTCCTTCGAGTATAGTAATAATACTTAAATTGATTCCCTTGATTTTGATCTTCTTTGTATCGCTGATTGGCAATGTACTTTTGGCTCGCTCTGCATCGAAAAAGGGGTATCGAAAAACTGGCACAAATATGGTAATACTTAGCCAAACAATCGCAGACCTCGGTACGACTTGTTTTGTCATTCCGTTTGCAGTCTCGGCCGTTTTCGAAGACAAATGGACGCTTGGCCAACCATTGTGTCGTCTTAACGGTTTCTTTAACATGCTTTTGACAATTGCGACATTATATAACCTATCTTTTCTGGCTTACGATAGGTTTTTGGTGATTGTGCACAAAAGTCACCGAGTTTTAACGTGCATGCAAGCTAGAAAGGGTATCATTTTTATATGGTTCATAGCAATAGCAATATCATTCCCATGGATGGATTTCGCAAGCGAGAAAATACGCACGGTCTATACGCCTGGATTTTACATTTGTTATTTACGATACTACCATCCTTTTGGTACTTTTGAAATATTTTGTCTCATTCTGATACTTCTTATTGGCGCTGCAGTTCCAACTGGTATAATCCTGTACTCTTTTTATCGAATCTTAGTGGTGTATCGGGATCACCGGGTCCGTATAACCCCGGTGACTTTGTCGAACGTGGCGAAGTTCGCACTAGAGCAATATTGCCGGTCGGCATACACGTCCCTTTTGATGATCGGAACAACAATGCTCTTTGTACTGCCGTCTTGTTTCACACTATTCATCGAAGGCATACAAGTTACAAATATACCTCATTCCTTCGAGACGGCCAGCAAATGGATAATGTGGTGTCATTGTACGATAAAACCGATCATCTACTTATGTCGGAATGAAAAATGGCGGAAAACCGTCAGTCGGTATTTTTGGTCGTGTTTGCCGAAGGGTGATATTTTGTACAGTGAATCGTCGAGGTCCTCGTCCCAGGCATCTGTGATAGGCAATGACTTGGATGCAAGGTCACAAAATAATATTCGGACACTTTTCTCGAAAGAGGAAATCGCAAGGAGAAATGATTTGGGGTTACCTGTGCCGATCAATGCTTGGACTGAGAAACAATTTCTCGATGTGTGTGCAAGATAAGGCCACGCTTATTTTTCCGGACATGTATACCCAAAGTCAAAGGTAAATTCAATGTATTTGCATCCGAAACTGAGTGGGACGTTAAGTAGAGAATCCAATGTCTCTTTCAGGCTGCTCTATTTACTGTCCGGAACATTGCGGATTTGCGCAACACTAATAGAATCGAACCGAACACGGTCACGTCACTCTTCTGGCAGCCAGTCATGTGACCTGGCAATAAAGATGACCTCCATTTCAAATATTTCCTAAGCCTCACTCCTGATTTTGTAACACAGGAAAAAATTAAATATCCAATAATGGGTTTTGATGGAAAACTGAACTCTTGGTACTGAATTGGTAAAAACCATGTTTAATTATTTATGGTATTTCAAAAATTTTCCTGTGAAATAAACAAAATTTTATGCTTACTTTTAAGACAACTCAGCTCGTCTTGCTTCTTAATTAGTATCTCAACTTTGATACAGATCTTCGTGATTAATATTCATACGTTTTAGTGACTTTTATTGTAGTTTACAAAGTTATACATGTGACCTAATAGCTTTTATTATAGAGTAGAGAGTGAGATACTGAAAAATACACAGCGAGATATTTTCCATATCTTCACTCAGTGAAGATAACGATCATGTGACTTTTTCCAATTTGCTTTGGAGCGTGAAATTTCATAATTAATAAGGAAAAGACAAAGGAAATCACTACCGTGTTGGTAGTTGTATATGCGATAAACTAGAAGTTACTATCGCAAGGAAAATGCTGCCTCGCCCCCAAGGGATTAAAGGCAGCATGCACAATTTGCTGAATAAGGGGCTGTTTATATGATCCCGCTTTGCCAGGAGATATGAGGCAGGATGATTTTGATGTGCTTAAATAAGTCACGATGCATGATTCAGCAAAACATTTCACTATTTTCTAGAGATGGATTACGGTATAGTTAACTGTAAACGAAAGGTTGCCTGTCCAAGCATAATATAACCTTCTTGAACCACAAGATCTTCTCTACATTTGAACTACTTCTCTACATTTGAGAGTTTGAACTTTCGTTTAGCCTAGTGACTATTATTTTAATACATCAAAATCATCCCTTCTTCCATCATGCAAACAGCCCTTAAGACGCCTGTTTAGGAGGCAGGAAAAATGCAAATTGAATATCAAACATCTTGCACAAAGTCGAAGGGCGGCTGAAAGTTCTAATTCAACTTTCTTGGCATGGGCGGTTTTATATGAATATCTTCAATGCTTATAACGTCTTGCTGTTGTATAATTATAATACTGTCAGTGGTGAAGAACCAACTCAGCCAGATTTCTCACTAAGTACCTATTATGTAAGAACCACTTCACTCTTCAGCCTCTTTTATGTGGCTTTTACTGTATCTTATTAGACAGGGTGTATAAAAAAAGTGAATCCATCTTTGGCATGTTATCGTGCATTATATATAACGTTTATTTATTTACTTTTTTCATACCAGTAAAGATCAGGCTTTTGGCTGTCGAATGCTACCTTTCTTGTATCATTGCGATAAAAAAATAGCCGGTTGAAATCGCATTTTTCCACCGTTGGGAATTGCATGTAAAGGCTAAAGCTATTGTCTGTGTATTCAAATTATCCTCATTTGGGATTCAAATTAATGTGTCCCTTGAGTAAATATGGCGCAACGCATGTGTGAGCATGAAGTTTTGATAAACTTTTACTCGCAATTTTACATCGAAATTGAGTGACTAAAACATTCTACAACACAAGAAGCTTGCAGACTGGACTCACAATGGCACACGTTCCCAAATGGACAACCAACATTTGGCATGGGCAAGTGTTCGAAAATTGGAAGAACATTTAAATCCCAAATGCGAATTCAACCGATCACTTTAAATCAGATTGCATTTGGTCATTTTTTATCGCAATCATTCCACAATCCACGAAGGTGTCATTTGAAAGCTAAAAGCCAGATCTGTATAAATACGAAAAAGAAAACTTATTGCCGTATATACACCCTGCATGTAAATTAAAATTATTATACATTCCATTCCATATACGGCTTTGTAGAAATGATATATTTCGAAAGCAGTTCTTTGGGACGTAACCTATATATAACACCACCATTTTCCAACAGAGATGTCAAAATAGTGTTTGTGATCGTCAATACACGACTTAATATTCAGTATATTCCACCAATGAAAACTATTGCTGCAACTTAAATCTTCATTGACAGGAAATTTATCGCATATTTGATAAGACGAAGATTTTGTCATGACTTTTCCATAATAAATTTCTTTGCCGTGATGATATGGCCCGCCAGAAAATTCAATACAACCAAAACCCAACACCATTTTGTCACAGGTTGGGAAATGGACAACAAGATCACGGTAATGCGTTACTCTGAAACTTAGTGGTACCAAGGCATCGTGCGCCAAAGCATAATCGTAATTACCGACTCTGGGTTCACCAAAAGTATATAGCATCAAGTTATCTTTTGTTGTCTTACCATTAAACACGATAAGTGTACTTGCAAGAGCCGCAAGTGCTCCACCTAGAGAATGTCCTGTCACCCAGACTTTATAACTTGGATAGTTGCTTATCTCGTTGTAAACATATATTTTCAAGTCGAACCACACAATTTCAAATGCGTCCAAGAAGTATTGTTGAACCTTTCCACCTGCTTGAAAACGCTGCTTTGGGTCAAAGATTATGCGCTTTATTTGGGTGTATACTTGTTTAAAATGTTCGGTACCACGGAATGCAATAGCGATGGCTTTCTCTGAATGAGAGACAGCGACAAAACCAGAGCAAAACGCGTTTCCTGAACATGACTTTGTAACCGTCTTGACAAGGTGAAATGTGTCCACTTCGCTTGCTTTAGATATGTACTTAGTCACATTGTTTGAGTACGCTATTGCGCAAAGATAGATCATTTTGTATGCCAAGTTCTTGTCGTATTGAGCCCAGAACTCGACGTCAGCAATTATCTTGACACAGTGATCAGGGTCTTTGACATTCTCCTCTCGATAGCATGGATTTCCAAACACATTGCCAGGAGTATGGCATTCTTCGTCTCGAGGACACCAGCGACAAGGTATTCCGAGCCAATTGCTGTTGCTAGTGCATGTAACACAATCACTGTAATCGTTACAAGCCCCGTCCGAATAACTTAGGGAGAGACTATAAACAAGTACAGCGAACGCCAAATACATGTTTATATACCGCGAAGAACAAGAAACGTAGCGAACAGAAACTATTTGCTTCGATTTCCAAGAAAAAAAAGAAAATACTTGGAATATGGCGTAATTATTCTTCCATAAATGGCAGAAGTTATACGATCATTCTTGTAATGAATATCATTAGTATGAATTTTGCATATACCAAATGAGCTTTCACGCGTTCTGATTGGCTCGCTGACCAGTAAGACAACGTACACATGGTAACGTTTTCGAGCGTTTTCATTTGTGTTTTCACGCTAAAACGGATGCAAACACTATTAATTTACGACTGAAGCTGTAGTTCCCGAGCCAACGGCGCGGAGCGCCGTTCCGGGCGTAAGCCCAGGGCGAGGGTACTAATTCCGTCCGGCTATTTACACCCGGGGAAAGAAACGCACTAGCGAAGTCTAAAGTTCATCAAATATCGCAGGCGCATGGTGTATGGGTGGTCATCTCACTGATCTCAAAATATGGCTGTTTTGCCAGGAGTGAAGAAGGGGAAAATATAAAAAATACATGTAAGAAAGCTTGGAAAATCGTTTCGCATAACAAATTGTAAAACTTTTTAAAATTTTTAAACGTAAACATTGATAGGAATCGATTTAGTATGAGAAATCCTAAAGTATAGCCTATAGGGCAAGTTTGTTTCAATTGTTTAATATGTATGACTTTGTATTGTTATAGACTTTGTTCTTATGGTTTAAATCTTTCCTACGCTGGCTATGCATTGTATGCGAAAGTTTCTTAGTTAAATTAACGTTTGTAGAAGTTCATGATAAAAAGGAAAGCAAATTATTTCATTAGCGTCCTGTACGAATTAAATTTATTTCATTTCAAAGTGCGAGTAATAAGTTGAAGCTGAAGTTGAAGAGTTTAATATCGGCAAAAAGCAGTTGATTTCAATTCACATTTAAAAACGTTTTACGTAGAGTTTCGTTTTGAATTTTACATTAAAATAAAGCCCATGGAAAACAAAATAATATACCTACTTTATATATTTTGGAAATCCATAGTTCTGTATTTAAAAGTGTTCAAGTTTCATCTATTATTTGCAGGTTTGTACAAAAAATTAAAAAAACAATTACCGTGTTGCCATGACCACACGGCTAAAAACGCACAGGTTGTTGCAAGTTGATATCGACAGGTGTGAACAATGTTGTGCGGCCAACTATGAACAAGTTGTCAACCATGTTGTTCCAAGTTGTTACAGTTGAACAATGTTGTAACAACATGTTGACAATACTGTTCATAGTGGGCCGCACAACCTTGTTCACGCCTGTCGATATCAACTTGCAACAAGTTGTTGATTTTCTCAATTTTTACGCGTGTACATGGAACGCGAGCCTGCGTTCAGTGTTGGCGTAATTACGAATACTTCATGTTGAAAAAATGTTTGGAGAATATAAGCGAGGGGTTGTTGCATGCATGTATTTCTAGTTTATTTAATATATTGGAGATATTTTCCTTTGAACCATGTGAACAGGGCATCAAAGCGATTAAAGGGACAAAAACGTTTTTGAAAACGCTCGAAAACGACGCCCGTGTGCACAT